GACAGCTGAAGTGACAGCTAACATTTACAACTTAGCAAACAGTTCTGAGTGCTTTATAAAAAGGGGAAGCAAAACATCGAGTTGAAAGACATAAAGATCTATATTAAAGGTGCAATTCCTGCAAATAATTCTATGAACAAGAAGTGAAGGCTCTAGCTGAAAGAGTTCTTTCTCGTCATAACGAACTTGCTGGCAAGCACTGCATCTGTATACACCTGAGCCAGGACACAGATAAAACTGTACTCATTCTGTGTTCAAAAATTATCCAGGCTTTGGAAGACTCAGAGTTCTTTATTTGTAACATTTCAGCTGGAACAAAAGTCAACACGAAGCATTAAGAAATTAAGTGATCCACTAATATTTACTAAAATCAAAATGGAATGTCAATCAAATTATCCTCTCTAGCTTGAATTTTATATCCTGTAATCAAAAAGATATTTGACAACTAACATGCAGCTTCTATCTGTCAGTTGACTACACTGCAAGAACCTCAGCAGGCTGAGAGAAGGTGCCGCTTAAAAGATCTATCAATCTTCAGGAGGGTAACGTGCAATTTATTCTGCGCACAGAAAATATAATGCCATTTGGAGGGAGAGACAAAACAGGTCAACTGAGCTAAAATAGAACATTTTTAGAGAGAGAGAGAGATGCATATATATATAAATTTAGTTTCACTGAATACTTAGCAGCTCCAGCTGAGGTAGCTGGCTTTATCTAGAAATAAAACCTGGCTCCTGCAATACCACTATCTTCACACTACACCTGATACATGCCTAAAGTTAATTTACTGGAAAGACTAATTTGGAAGCAAACAATACTCAGCTATCAGTCAAGCCTCTTACTGCCAATACTTCTGATGTAAAACACCAACAGAAGTTTTTCTAAACATTAGCTAATTAGATCAATAGTTTTCTGTATTATTTCAGACAAATACATCTATGTGTGTAATAAGAACTAACTCACCAAGTATCTTTCTTCATTAAAGTCATATTCTTTTGGGAAGCACTGATTATATCCATGTCAAAAAGATGCAAGTTAATTGACTCTAGAAGTCTAGTGGAATGTTAAATAATATCAAAAAGTAAGAAAGCTTCTTCAAGGGCAATTCCAAAGATAAAAGAGTAGAATGGACTTCCACATAAAATTAGCAAGCCTTAAATTTCTTACTGGCTCTAAAGTGACAAACATTAGCCTCAATAAGCATTAAAAAAATGTCCAAAATGTTTTCCTCCTCCTAAAAACCACATGCCAATGTCTCTTATTTCTGTATATTCTAACTAGATTTTAGCAAATTTATAAAACACTGATTCAGTAGATTAAGCATATTTGAAAAATCCTCACAAGGAGCATCAAGCCCAACTGTCTTTCCTGCCCCTTGAGACAAGGTGACATTCTGAACAAATGCATATATACATCACTTCATTTTTTCAACCAGTACTTAATCCGACTGCACACTTCAAAAGTAAAGCAATTATGGGATTTTCAAACTACAAAAGCATTCCAGTGTGCATTCCTTCTATTGGTGCAAATTATGTAATTTTCAGGGACTGAAAAGGGAAAAGAGAATCCTGGAGACCATGGGAACATCCTAGGACCTCTGCATTAACTAAATGAATATATGGAGACCTTTCAATATGGGATGCACACACTGTGACTTCGAGTGCAGTGATCTGATACAGAGAAGTGAATGGATGTTTGGAACAGGAACAGAAGGGAGAAGAAAAGCAATCAGCATTCTTTACTTTTAAGTGGAAAACAAACAATTATCTATCATTTATATTGTGCAGTTGTTTATGAATAAGAAGTAACTGAGAGCTGCACTTCACTTTCCGGCTCTTCAAAATTTAAGCAAATTTTAAGAAGTTTTAAGTATCCACAGTGATTAAAAACAGTAAAAAAAACCCAGCACGCTAATCTCACTTATTCTGTTTGCAATATTGTGACAACATTAAAGAGATTTGATTAGCCAATCCCATATTGACTTTCCCATGAGATAAACGCCTGAAAACTACCATTCTGCACCGAAGGAGAAAGTAAGTTTTCTTATATATTGTCTCTGTAAAGTATCATTCTGATTTGCATGAAAGATATTACTAACACATATTTTCCTTTAGCTTAAGAAAATGCCAGTTGGCAATCTATTTAAAGATGGGCCTATTACTAACCTTTTTGTATCTCCTTTTTGGACTTTTACCCAGTGTTCCACTTGAGCCATGTTACTTTTTCTTTGAAACTGCTTATCTGGATTTGCTCTGGGAACAAACCCTCTTTTATATGAGCCAGTACCATTCTGCTCCACTAGGCCAGCACTCACACTTAATGAACTAGGAAGGGTTCCATTCTTCTCAGCTGGCTGAGGTTGAGCTACTTGGGACCACGATGCCTTGGATGCATTCGTTAAGTCTGGAAATAATGAATCAGCTTCTGTTAACACGTGCTTGGCCTTTCCCTTTTTAGTTTCCAGAGTTCCTTTTCTGTGAATATAACGCTCCTCCTCCTCCTTTTCTCTTCTTATCTCTTCACGCTTATCATATCCAAGCATTTCAGCTGATTTTGGATAACTTTCTTTTGTATCTGTAATCTCTCCCTTCACACACTCTTTACTGGCATCCACATGATTGACTTGGGGAACAGCTTGCTGATCCACTTTTTCAGTTTCTCTGAAAGGAAAATACATATCAGTAATGAACACTGTGTAATTGTGAAAAGTTGATGTGGTCTCATTACTTTTTCAGAAAGAATACTCACATAAGTATTCTGCAGGCTGTGATATAACTGACATGTTAAGATAAATATGTTCAGCAAAACTCAGTTGTTATCCCAGTTAGACAAAAGTTACCTTTACAGTGCTGTCAAGGAGGCAGAAATTACTTATACGCGTCTGTAAAAATGACTGAAAATATTAATTTTGTCAAAAGAAGTGTTCAACTTGTGTAATATTATGTACAAAAAGATATAAAAGAGAAAGTCTTCCTATCCTAGGAAACGCTGAAAGCCAAAAAAAACCAAAACCAAACTGCCAACTGCTCACTGCAAAGTGAAAAAAGTCTCTTTGTATCTTTGTAGATGCTTTAAGTACTAGTCATTTCGGGCCAAGAGAATAGAGCAATATCTACATTTGAGTCAATACTATTGTCCAGGGAATTTCTATAGGAGGGCTATTTCTGAAACAAACAAACAAAAAAACAAATTTAAAAATGTCCATTGCTCCCAACACATGCTGCAGCGCACACTAGTTTACTTATTTACCTTATTGCCTAAATATTTCAAAAAGTCCACACTAGAAATCTTGATACTGAACTTCGAACACGCTATAAAATGTCTAAGGATCCTAAAAGTTTCATGTTGCTTTTGACACATAGCATACTTAATTTGCAATTTTCTTCATCTCCTTATAGCAATAACCTTCTTGACAACATTTTTTTCTCTCGCAATTCAATGGGATATCATTGATCTTGGAGTAGCACCTCATCTTCTCTGAAACTAAGTTCAGCTTCTTTATGGAAGGTAAATTCTGAGTAACACAATTGTTTTCTCTTCAGTCTACTTAGAAATGAATAGTCTACTTAGGAGGAAGGACACTGGATCAATACTTCTAATGTGCCCAATTCCCCAGTGTTTCTTTTAATTATTCCTTACAAAGATGATAAAGAAAAATCCAGGTACCAGGTTATATGTTACTTGAAATTTAAATGAAATCCAGAAAGTCTTAATATAAGATGCAAAGCTCTGAAAGAGATGTTGATCCTTTGCTTATATTTGACTGGTCAAAAGAAAGCAGTAGTGTAAGATACTCTGAGAAACTGCACGTGACATTTTAATCCTCACAGCCCCAGTGGTTAAAAGCAGGGTTGTCCCACAGTACAGTCTTCTTTCATGTGCAGTTGTAGGGAAAGAATCACATTCCAAAGCCAAAACATCAAGAAAGCTACATCAATTTTAAGGAAAGGAAAAACCTGAAAATACATTTTGGCACAGCTGAATTTGTTCATAATTAGTTCATAACTGCATAAATTAGTTATTATTATAAATTAATATCCATTAACTCTCTGTACTTATGATTTACCCACCTTTAACATCCTTTCCCCCCTTAACAGCACTTTAATCCTAGTTCTAAATGCTCATTTGAAACAAGTCATTAGACTTCTGTCTTTCCTCTTTTACTTATCTCTCCTAAAGCATGTCAATTGGCTCTCAAAGGTGTAGGAATCTGCTCACAGAAACTGTAACTTCTTAACTGCAATTCCTTAAAATATTATATATATATATATATAAATTAATCCATGTCATTAAATGTAAGCACACAATTTGATGTACACACGAACACTAAACACCAGGTTTTCCTAATTAATATCAGTGAACTGATTTGCAACAGAATGTGAATGATAAATAATAATTTTTTTAAAACGGGAATGAGTTTCATCCACACATTTACAAATGACACTCTCGGAAATCACCGTGATTTCCAAGATATAAATCAAATGTGATTTATATAACACGTATTTAATTTAAAAAGCCAACAGCTTCTGTATGGAACTTGCCTCTTCAGTGAAGAGCGTGTTTGCATAAGAGCAGCTTGGTTCATAGCCCGGATCCAGCCATTCATATCCTCTTGGGTATCAGCACTGAAGTAGTATGTCCGCATCCCTGAATGCTCTGCCTGAGAGCCAATAACAGAATTCTTATTATAAATATATGCCCGCATACCTGTATGAACAGCCTGGGAGGACAAAAAAAAAAAAAAATAAAAATCAGAACAGCTCTTTCATTTTTTCCCCCCACTAAAAAATTTACTGAAAAAAAACCCCTTCCAGATTCTGTGACTGCTGACTGAATCTTGGGTAAATTATCACACTGCCAAAATGGGCTGTAGTGCAGTGAACTCAGATGGCAGTTCAATTTTCACTGAAATTCCTCTGCCTCCTTCTAGAACTATTAAGCTAAAAGTACAGTGCTTCTGTTTTTCATACTAGGAAATTTCAGCTTTTCATTTTCTTTTAATTGATGCATTTCATTTGTAATAAATACTATACTAAACAAATCTAAGAAATCCTCGATGAGACATGCATAAGCAAGTCAATTTTCCCAGCTCATTTAATAAAGCAATTTATGCAGACAAAACACAGACAAAATTTCAAGCAATTAAACTGCTTATTTAAGAATTGATTATAATGCCTGTTAAGATCTTTTGGTTACAGCGTGCACTTGAACATATATTAGCTGCAAAATCACAAGACTTACTGATAAAGTTAGTAATCCTGTTGGAACTATCACAGCACATAATATACTGACAAGTATCTTTGCACACCAAAATACTCCATGAAATTCCACTGCAAACTAGAGGTATTTCGCAATTCCTCCATAAATATGTTCAATATTCAAATGTATTCAACATGGAATGTCTTCATAACTCTAGGCTAGTTGAATTTAATAAAATCTCACCCACGTTTGTATTAGTGATAGTATAGATATTACTAAGTCATACCAGTCCTGAAACACTTACTATATTTCCTCAAAGTTATTTTACAGATGTGCTTCAGATTAGTAGGGAGAGATTCATCTCCTTACTTTCCAAAAAAACTGAAGATAATATACACTGCTTCAAAGCTCTTTTATGATATTAAAATGAAATTAGTAATTTAAACTCCATTTTATAAAACTAAATCTGCTATCATGCACAAAAACTAATAGCATGAAACGCTGCTGAGACAGGGTTTTTTTAAAAAGAAAAAAATTATATCAACGTTTTAATTTGGCCACATCTTCTTTTAGAGGTTAAATGTATTTTGCAAACCTTCCCTAAATAATTGGTCTTTTTATATTGATGAAAACTTCTTCCCATCATTATTCCAAATTAAATAAAAAACCACTCTACAATCATAGATGGCTTCAGAAACACAACAAGAGTTTTGACAAAACCCAGGCTATTTAATCCAGTGCAGCCCTCCCTAAACATTACAATTTCAGTTGTTTACCCTGAATTTCCAAAATTACCATACTCTTAGAGACTTGTATCAACAATTTCAAAGAGCAAAATACGTGCTTGCTAATAGAGTGCTTTCAAATTCTGTGGAAAATTTCCTCCCTTTCCATTGCAGCCTGTTCTCCCAAACGTGTGAAAGGTGGCCTTTCCCTTCTGTGCCCCAAGCAAGGAAGCCTGTGTTTGCTTTGAAAACTGGAGACAAGCAGAACAGTCAGCTACAAAAGAAGGAGCAGAAGAAGGAAGAGGAAGAAAAGGTTGCATAAAGAAGTCCAAGACTCTCTCCTGCCTGAAAGAGTCTCTGCTTCCCAACAGCACTGGCCAGTAAGGGAATACAAGGTGATTTCTCCTCCATTCCCACAATTAGCTACCTACCTTAATACAGGAAAAAAGGACCTCCATACATTAAACAGTAGCTCTGATCAATCACATATTTAAGAATCAAAAGACTTTGTTCATGTTTGCCTGGTTCAGTTCTTTGGGTTTTCTTTGTTGTTATTGAGGGTTGTCTTTTTTTTTTTTTTTTGCCATTTTGACTGCACTAAAATGCTCAAAGCAAATATGATATGAATATTAATTCATTTCAATTTATGTTTAGTGTCCAGTGTATGAAGAGACAAAAACTAGCAGCTTCAGATATAAAGGAAAACGGTGATTTTAATGTGAGACTTTAGGACTACATTGCTCCTTCAGAGATCATGTTGAGCCCATAGAAGGTGTTAAAACTGAGAAGTGAAGTGACTCCTGCAGAAAACCAGACCACATATGCCCCACTGCAGATGGTGCAGTAGGACCCAACCATTCACTGGTTATACATTTGCTTACAAGAAACAAAAGCTTGGGTAACTATCAGCAGCAACTGTGTAGCACATCAAGAAATGGATTTAACAGCTATCTTAACTGACCTGTACATCCCAATCAGCATAACCCACCTGCACTTTAGGTTCTCTTTCAGCTGTGCATGCTGAACACAGCTGAAAGCACTGCCTAAGAGGCTCTAGGTGAAAACGGTATAAAAATGCAAACTGTGTTGCACCATTCTCCCTTGAGACTGGAGCTATCACAGCCATAAACATTCACAGCTTCAGAAGGGATAATAGAGATGGTGTGCAATAATCAACAAACACAACATTCTGAAGTTTGTAATATAAAACACCAGTTAAAGGAAAATTTAAATTTATTTCAGTTATTTATTAGTAGCGTGTCTTATATGCAAGAAAGCACTTTGTGCCAATGGCCTGTAGCTGCAACTGCTAGCAGACAGAAGCCAGCAGGTTTGTTTTTTTTGTTTGGTTTTTTTTTTAAAGCAAAAGCCATTAGGATGACTACAGCATACTAAAAAGCCTAAAACACAGCACATGCGCACATGTACGCCACACACACAACAGGGAAAAAATAATATTGGTACCTATTCATGCATTCAGATGCCTTAATGTAGATACACTGAGAAGAAAAGCAGTCTCTCTCCCATAGTGCACAGTAGGAGAAATGGACAGTAAACCCCAAGAGCATATCAACAGGACAAGACAAGGACAAAAAGTTAAACAAGTTAAAATCAGTAAAAGATTGATGTTTCCAAGACAATACTTAACAAAAGACTATACTAAAAGTAACTAATGCCTACAGCAGTTATGTTCACGTCCACTTGTTCAAAATTCCTAGGAGAGAATAAGCCACCATTCATAGGACAAACGGATGGGGAAGGGAATAGTTTTCTAATAACTGTAAACTTTCAAAATCAGTTCTCTCAATAAGCTATAATGTACACTTTGATATTTATGAACCATTTATGAGTAAAAATTGAAATAATACTCCGACCCTTCACTACGAACTCAACAACAGCACACTACAATCTAACTCATCTTTCACCCTCAAATAATATCGAGCTTTTTAAGGATTTGTAGAAACCTGAACACTCCCCTCTTCCAGATTTTAAAATAGCACCCCTCAGATTTATAGCCCTTGGCATTTCTTCACCTGACTCCCCACATTGGGAGAAGCAATATGGGAGCCTAAGGAAGCAACACTGATTCAGAGAACATAAAGGAACAAACTGTGTCAATTTTCTTTTTTTTTTCCTTTTCTTTTTTTTTTTTTAGGAAAATCACTGAGAAGATATGAAGTTTGCTCTGGTCCCAGCAGGTCTAAGCAATGAACAAATACTTCCATTAGTAAGACCTAGAGTGTCAATAATAAAGAGATGGGTTTTTTTAAACCCAAGCTGCAGTAGCCTCCTCTGGAAGTAATGATTTGGCCTGGCTTCCAAGGCTCTGAATGTTCTCATGCTGAAAAGGTGAACCTCTGAAAAAATGTTAAAAGTAGTATCGAAATAAAAAGTTGTAACGTGTGTCTCCAACGCTACTTCCTACCTCGTACCAGAACACCTGAACATTCTTCACTGACTTTATTTGGTACCAAGATATGCACCTAAATACAAATATATACTTGCATACACTGTCTTTGCATGAAGTTTTCTTGTTTTCTTTACAGCTAACTCTGGTAGGCCTTCCAAATTTCTCAATTTTTATTACTGTCAGATTCATATAAATATGTTTACTTTCAGTAGTCTCTCTTATATTTAAACACATATAATACCAATTCAAAATAATTTTCATTATTGAGGACAAGGCTTCTAGAGACTGTGATGTCATGAACGTTCATAAACTGATACTATTCATGTTTAAAACTGATCTATTACTAAAACATACAGTCAATTCTCGGTTAATCACAAGGAGTATTTCCAGGTATATATTAATGTTATGTAAGCCTTTTCACATTATAAATCTAAACACTGGATTTGTGCTCACTTACATTCGTATCAACAAAAAAATTACTGTACTTTAAAATACAGCAATTAGATTAATTAAATATCTTTAGGACATTAGCTACTGACTAAACACGCAGTAAGAACCCTGAGTTCTAAGCTGTCATATAGCTTAGTGACAGTAGCTTACAGGTAGTCACAGCACTTGGTTTGGGCCAAATAAACAATGTGAAAAAATTGTGAAGACCGAGACTTAAAAGCAGAGTTTCTAAACAAAACAATTTAACACACATACTGCTACACTTCAAAGTAGGGGTCTGATTGCATTTGAAAAGCCTGTACCCAGTTCTGCAGGCCTATGATTGTTAAACACCCAAAGAGACACAAGAGCTTAAAGCTGGGCCTCAGGAGGTGATGAATGGAAAAAGATTTTGAGAACTCCTGCGGTGCACATTGTAAATTATCAGGGTTTAACATACATGCCCTACTGAGCATGTATTTTACAAACTTCCAAACCAAATCATGTGCAACAAGCATCCATGTATTTGCTACGTGAATTTCCTTCCTCTAGTTTTGCAAACAAAAATGTTGATTTTTTTTCTGCAGTTTTACTGTTTCCCTTGCTTCAAAACTCACTGCCACTTAAAACAGCCACTTAAAATGGGAGCCAATACCTCCACTGTAACAACCTGAATAAAGGACAAGACAAATGTAAAAAGTGACATGGCACATTCTCCCACTCATTCAGGTCTTAAATGCAAAAAAGTCTTATCTTTATTTTGGGCTTAATCTGCTTGTGTGTTCTATTCCTGGCTGCACTACACTGCGAGACAGAATGTCCGTCTACGCTCTGGATATCGAAGGGTACTGAGGAGATTAGATAAAGGTAATGGCTGGTGAGTGATGGAATGCCAGGACGGTCGTGCTCCTGCTGCTGTGCACCCACAGCCGACTCCGTGTCCACGGAACGTCAGTGCTGGACAGGGTCCATACAAACAGGAATCTTACAAAATCCTCCTACTGGCCTATGAGTTCGTTCTAAATGAAATAAAACCCCAGCATCAAGCCTGCAGTCAATCATCAAACACCTAAAGCAGAGTTAAAATTGGGCCGATAAACTAATGTTGAAATGTTGAGGGTTTTTTTATAGAGATTCCTAGCATAAACTTTCTTTTGCTATCAACACCCTATTTCTATCTATATCAACCTTTTAGTAACGAGCCTGTGTTGAAAGTCTCAGGTTACAGGCTCATGCTGATTTTCAGAAAAAGACTCAGATTAAAGACTTGGTAGAGCTCATATAGGTATGATATCCTAAAAGGAACAGGGGAAGTCTGTATTTGCTTCTGAAAATGTTTAACCATGATCACACACCATGGATTCTGCTCCATGGGAAAGGAGAGCCACAACTTGGCCAGTGGTGACTGAAGAGCGTGTGTGTAAACAACGTTTCAATAAAATAAAAAGCAGGGAAGCCTAGAAGAGTATATTGAGTTCTTCTCTTTCAGTATACATTTCTTGCTGGGAAAAGGCTCTAGAAGAGGAAGGCTTTATGAATCACACTCAGAAAATATTGCAGTGGAATGCTTCTCTTAAACAAAGGCTCCTTTGTAGCTTATCCTGCTATCTCATGCTCAATGCATTTGAAAAAGTACAATAAATATTTCCACAAAGTGCACTCAGTGTTTTTAAACATATTTCCCAAGTTAATATTTGTTTAATAAATTTCAAACCATTATCCACTTGAACACAGAACCGAATGTAGTAAGAGGCAGTCTCAATTTTAAAACACCCCCAAAAAATTAAAATGCAAGGGAAAATATAGTCTGAGCAGATGTTCTTCATAACTTCAGCACAGAAAATATTTAAACAGAGAGTTTCCTTCTAGATCTCCGAAAGTATGCCTGATCAAAACCTGGTTTGTAAATTATTTTTTTTAAGTACATAGCTCATTTGCTTGACAGAAAAAGCAGTTCTGCTCCAGATACCGGTAGACTTTAAATCTGCCACAGGCACATAAGTTTTCAAACTTTGCCTCAGTGGTGCAGCTCAGACAGTCACTTAGAGTCAGGTTTTTACACTGCCAAGAAGAAATACATGGTTTATTTCATATTTGTGGGCTTTTATAATGAAGACTAGAAGTGTAAATTATAGAATTACATTTTTTTAGAAAAAGAAAAATACACAAAACTAACTTCAGACTGTATCAAATAAGAGTACTTTTTCCTTTAAAAAGTCCATGCCACTTAGGATGTCTGTAGCTTCCTCCCAAAAAAAAGAGAGAAAAATTGGTTACTCTTTTTCCCTTTGAAATCAGGAAGAGAAACACCAAGAGCTACAGTATTGTCATTTTCCAACTGTGAGAACTAAGCTATTTCTTTTCTTTATAAAAAACCACAACAAAGCCAAACAGACATCAGTCCATTATGAGATCAAGTACTCTACAAATAAGAAAATCTTTCTTTCAATTTGTAGACAGTACTGGAACAACTTATTGATACTAATTTCTGATTTTAGAAACAGGATCTTTACTCACAGACACTTCATTAAAGCTCTAAAGACACTTACAAAGTAACAGACATGAATGTCAATTCATAAGCAACAAAAAAGTGCTATGTCACATTTTGACAGGCAGCCAATAAACCTGTCTACTTTTCAAAAATAATAATAAACAGATTAGGAAAACAGATGATGTTTCTGTTTACAGAAGCAGCATTTCTAATGCAAATAAACTATGATTGGTTAATAAGGCTTGTAAACTGTACCTTAAAAGAAAACTTGCGATTTATACGATCTTCAGGTCCAACTGGAGATATGACATAACTAGGCAAGGGTATGCTCCCCAGAACAGATTCTTCTCTGCTGTCTGTTGAAGGAAAAAAATAGAATTTAATTCCCTGCACTATTCAGTGGGCTAACAACACATTCTCCTTTATGGGCACACAGACAACAGTCGTTCAGTAGAAAGAAGAGCAGTTCAGACTGGATATAAGGAAAATAATTTTCCCCATGAGGACAGAGCAGCAAGGGAACAGGCCAACCAGGACGGCTGTGCCATCTCCATCCTTGGAGGTTTTCAAGGCCTGACTAGATTAAGCCCTGAGCAACCTGGGCTGACTCCTTTCCTGACCCTGCTTTCACCAGGCAGTAGGACAAGACACTTCCTGAAGACCCTTCTGACCCAAACTCACTTGTGACTCAACACTAAAAATACACACAGAAAAATGTTTTATTTTTAAAGAAATAAGACTGAAATTTTTTTAAAATCAGTTTAGTTTTTTATTGAGGTTTGTTCTTTTCTTGGGGGGTGAGTGGGTGTTTTTTTAGGTTCAGCCAGAAGACTACACTTCAAGAATAAAGCTTATTGTGCCAAATGAACTGTGACAGGCTGCACGACATGACGGACCTTCCATTTAGCATTGTTCATCTAGGCTAATTGCTATAATTAGGAAACCTCTATTACTGCTGGCTCTAAGTGATCATCAGTAAAAATGCAGTGCCTAGGAATATGAATTCCAAGTTTCATGTTCTGTAATCCTTTCAATCTTCAAAAGCAATATTCAAAACTTGAAAATAGCCTTATGTAATACCATTATTCCTAATTTGGCCTAAGATCACATCTAACCTTTTTTTGGTATATTACTGGATTCAGAAGTTCTCACTCTTACATTGTCCCCTGGATTAAAGCTGAATCAGTACCCTGATCTGGCCATAGAAAGTTCTCAAAAAACTCAGATCTCCAAGTGCAAGCAGGTAGGTAACACAATACAGACCAGAGATGGGATAAATCTTATTTATTGCAGTCAAGTGTTCTGGAATGTAAACCTTGGCATATACCAAAGATAGGTTTTAAGACAAAATATCATACAGCATCTCCTGCTTTCCCTACTCTGGCCCCAAATTAGCTGCGCGTTATAAATGTACAGACAAACACCTGTTTCACTATTCATCTTCTCAGAATACCTAACTATAGCTGAACAGTTCAATTAGTTCATTAATTTAGTGTGATTTGTACAGGAGAACTGTTACAGACTAACTCAAAACAGCTAGTATCTACTCACCTTTGTAGTAAAACAAACAATAATCAGCAAGCACAAACCATCGCCTTTTCCATAATCGCATTCCAGAGCTATCCTGAAATGCAAGAAATGCAACACACTTTTCATTTAATGGAAGTTAAAAGCTTATCATACAATGCTGATCCAGTGAGTAGTTTATCAGAAGTTTACCTAAATATGATTAATACTTGCAAAACAAGTGCTTTCTATTTTAGCAAAACATTATGTACTAAGAAAGATAAGAGGCAAAACATCCAGCTATAAAATAATGAGGGCAGAATATTCCAACTGCTAATTTTCATTAAGTAATTAAACTTGCATCCCTAACAGCATTCAGATTAACTTTATACACAACCAATGTGTATTTTATCTACACAGATTTATCTGCAATACAGAAACAAAATATACTTCCGGATGGCACAGACTCCAACAAAAATTGCCTGTAGACCAACACAAAAATCACTACACAGTTGTGAAGTATGACATCAGATTTCAGGCAATGATATCCTATAATTCTACAGTCAATCTCCATATGTTACCCATGCCTAAAACGTAATTTAATAAAATATTCCTTAGGAAATAAAATGTGCAAATTTTAATGAAGTATAATATAATATGCCAGTGGAGATCCATATATATCTATCTCTATCCATATATATATATATATATATCACCTTGTCAAAATGAGTAATATTTGCATTGAAATTAATTTTAGAAGCTTGTGAAATTGCCAGACTGTAACCTGAGGAAGTACAACTTATTCAGCTCAGGTAGGCTTTGATAAGACCCGCAGCATAGAAAGCATCTTCAGGCTTTAAGAGTTAACAAGCAGAGGTAAGGGGACAGAAGGAAACACGATATACAACATTGCTCCAGCTATTGCCCTCCTCCTTTCTGTAGTCAAATTAAGTATGCAGGGACTTTCTTCCCTTCCCATTTTCACGCTACTGTGTTGTCAACACACACTGTGTCCGAGTTCTGATTCTGTCCTGAGAACTAATGGACTTGGGTAGTAAATATCAACAGAGCTGAGACCAGAACACAGCAGAATTACAGCTCTCCAAGCAGGAGGAAGTGAACGGCTGTCAGCAAATTTCACTTCCCTCTAAATATAGAATCATAACTGTAAGCCTGAGATTTCAGCCTTCTCCTACTCATCCCTAAACTTTCCTACTGGATCTCTGGTGATAATCTGGTGGACGTCGACTGCCAAATTAGAAGCAAGGAAGTATTCTCATACAACAAACAGCTTTATTTATTTATTGCACTCAAGGATGTGCTTCTGTCAGGCTTAAGAGTTCAAGATGTTGCAGCTGTAGAAGTCTGTTCACTGATGAAATTCTATAATCCAGCCTTTGCTGGATACTGTTCTTGGTGACAGCAATGTCTGATGAATGGGTCCCTGTTTCCCATAATTTTCTCCCTCCTGCTTTTGGAGAACAAAAAGTATGTGGGTTGGAATTAAGCCTTGGTGGGGGTAGAATGGCATAAACAAGCAGATGGAATAAGGTCTTCACAGCCAGCGTTGTTCTGAGGGAGATCAAGATCATCGTGGCAAGAAGCCACCAGGATTAAACCGGGAAAATAACAAGATTTAGACAACAATGTTATAGCTTCAACATTTAACCATGATGGTGACGTCCATTTATCATCGTTTCCACTTCTGAATCAAACCTCTATGTAAACCTTGGTTTTCACACTCACTGAGCACAAATTCCTCATTACAGAACCCTGTGGGAATATCCAACACTGCCCTGTGTCACCAATATTTGAGCTTCTGCTTTTTCAGTTACTTGGAAGGCACTTGCTTTTACTTGATGATTGTATTGAAGTATATGAACAGAAACTGGTGATCACATGCATACCTGTTTGTGTAGCCAGCCTCTTACTATAACAGGAACATTGGGATTCCTCCTGATAGCTTGTTCCCTCTTTCCAAAGCTATGCACTTTGCTTCCAGTCTTCACAACCTGTAAAGAAGTACAATGTAGCAGTCGTTTTTAAACTGTACTGAGACTCATTTCATATTACAAATAACCTCACTGCAATAACTCATACTTCATTAAACACTAACAAAGTATTCATAGCATTTTCAAGGGCAAGTAAACAGGTAATGATATTTACAACACAGCAAAGTCAATCTTCCACTTTCATCAACATATTAGTGCCGGGATGGTCTGCCAAGTCCGAGCTGAACAGCAGCACTGATGTGTCAAGTCAAAAAGGCAGAACTATGGAACTTTTAGTGTGCCTGGGAAGTATTTTTGAAAGCTCCACGCAAATCTGCCTCTGGTAGCTGGGTGTCAATGCAGCACAAGTCTCTTACACGCACAGGACTTTGAGCAGATGAATCCTATTCTTTGTTTGGGTTTTTTGTGTTACTTTTTTGGTTGATTTTATTTTTCTTTCCTGTTTAAATTCAAACAACATTGATAGCTTAATAAAATGCTTGGACTTTGACCCTGCAAACAGAAGGAGAAGACAAGAGTGACGCTCAGGAAGGGAAGAGACCTAGACAGCAGTAAATGGAAATCACAAGAATTGGGTAATGATTTGTTTGTTACCGAAACCTCAGTTTTGACTCACATGGGCAAAACTATTTCAAAAACAAACATAGAAAGCCCATCCATCTGTGAAAAAGCAGGAATCTCTGGATGAATAATTTGCCTGTTCTTTTCCAACCTCAGCACAGTTTGCTCCTCCAATGGCTTTAGGAACCTGAGATGCACACACCACCCTTAGAGTTGCGTCTGACCCCTCCAAGAAAAGAACTGTCCAGATTCCTTCCTACAGTGTCTCACTTTTTAATCTCTTATCTCAGCTCAACAGGGTACAGATGTTCTGTGAGCTGCAGACAAACAACAGCTCTGGAAACAAGTACATTTGTCATGCACAAGGGATAACATCAGAAAAATATCTCATCATACTGCTCCTGCCAGTCAAGCAACACTTGGACTAGAAGACAGCATACATAATAATAAATTATTCTAGCAATATACGATAACTTTAAATGGATTCTATTCATTTTGAGGCCAAGCTTCACCAACCTGCACTATATTTCCTATCTTTATGAAGAGTTAAGATAATAGCTACAAACAGCAAGAAAAACAATTACTCCTTTGGTACTATAGCATATAAAACAGACACACATGTTAACACTTGTAAGGAGCTGTCAAAGGGCAGATTTTCTTAGGTACTTTCCCCGAGGTGTGCTCCCCAGGAAGCAGAATGCTGCTTCCAGCTCTGCTGAGGAGTCAGGTGAGATGCATTTCACGGTCATTTTGGTGAAACGCCCTGACATTTTGGTGACAGGAAGTATGGGAGTGACACCTCACCAGATAACCTTGGTGAGAGCCTGCACAGGACTCAGCTGTGCCCCAGAGCAGCACAGGTTATCACCTGAGCAGACAGCTCTCTAGGGCTAGCACAAACCCAAAGGCCAGGGTTTCTAAGCAGGTGCTCCTGACACCCAGATGCCAAGAACCAGCTCACAGTAAAAGTCAGGTGAGGATGGTACTGCCAAGATCTCTCAGCCCGTTTCTCTGCCATACCTGTGCTAACACACTCAACTAACAGGCTGCAGAGCACCTGCTTTGGGCAAACACAGCGTGTCGACTAGGACCACAAAAACATTTCTGAGTACTCACACACAGACGCGAAAGGAAGGAAGAAGTAAGATGTTAGGGATTTTGTGTTTGCTACTGAAAATATTTCAAAAAATAACTTGCAAACCTGTGTCCAAATACCACTTTAAACAAACACACAAGGGTGTATCACGAGGTCAGTCAAGCTCTGGATTATTATACCATGGCCAATCCATATATGGGTATTTTTTAAGAAAAATGAGAAGTAAACATTTCAGTGGAGTTTTAAAAAATTGTTGCCAAAAGCTAAGATGCAGCAACTACAAGGGCGATAAAAATAATGAGGCCCAAATTGTTTAAAGCTCTGAAAGTGAAAAATTCACATTGTGCACCTGAACAGAAATCAATTTACAAAACATACAGAATTTAGTTTCCAAATTTTTCCTTCTCATAGTTCTCCTTGGAACGTTGGATGAACTGAGGAACAAAGTTGATCCTGCTGATCTAGCCTTACAGCAGCATTTAAATTTGATTTTTTTCATCTGATCCCTTGCCAGTGAGCAAGCACATTGGTAGTCTCTGATCTTACTTAATTTAAAAAACATGCAGACCATAACGTAGAAAAGTCATCCTTGGACTTGGTCAAAAGACCAAACAATTTCTATTGCAGCAATAAAATACCCATAATGGAAACAAAATTATCATTTTATGGTGCTTTATGTAATTAAAATTCTCATATCATCTTCAGTATTAATCATCTCATTCTGCTCTGGAATAAAACAAAGCATAACAGACACTGCATGTCACACCTTGCTTCCATTGGCTAAAGAGTTAGTTTAAAAGAAAAGGTATATATTTTAAACTACTTGTCTGTATTGCAGAAGCCTTTTCCTAACTTAAATTATTCTGATATCATTGTCATGTGTTGAAAAATGCAGGTCAGCACAGCTGTCTGTGTCACTGAAAACACAGGAGTCACTTTTGACTTCAGTACATTTGTCATGCTGACTTTGTGAGTGGCACTTAAGTTTTTGTGGGGGGAAAAAAAAAGTCAAAGAGCCAAAGTTTTCAAATCCCTTTTCAGCACCACCTCATCTTCCTTACAGTAGCTTCCAGCTGAGAAGAAAAGTTGCTAAATTAATTGCAAAATATTATATTTTTTTTTTTTTTTTTTAAAACTGGACAGCCAAAAAGAAAATGTGGACAGACTTTTATTTGGAACAGATTTTCCAAACAGTAAAAATGAAGACTGCATCTTGGTCAAAGTATGCAAATATATATACATAAGAGAACATGTAACTTTCAATCTGGAGGGACTTAAAAAAAAATGTAAAAAAAACCCCAACCCACAAAGCCTCACCTGTTTAAGTCATACTTTTTCATTCAAAAAGTCTCAGTGTTTCACTTAGAAATGAACTTATGAATTCTTTTGGTATTTCCAAGAAAATGATAAAAAATCCTTATTTTTCAGATAGGAAAAACCAAAACCCTCAGAAAATCCCACTCTTAATTTTGAGCATTCCTATACAGTGGCCGTGAATTAAACATTGTGTTTTACACTCCAGCCCAGCCCCAGACAGTCCCTGAGCTGGCACCATCACATACCTGTCACCACTGCCTGTTCCTCCCAACTGCTAGGCTCATTCTTTACTTGTTGTACTCCTCACCAGTTTATCTTGGAAAAATACCAGCAACTATCAGTGTCATCAACAATTCAATTACTTCTCTCATGCCATGCCATGGTGAGGCTTCGCGAACGAAGATTTGGGAAGGCTCTATCCACATTTGCTACAGGCACACTGGTGGCTTATGAGGCCAATACGTGACAGACATATCCGATTGCAAAAGGCACAACAGAAAGACTCCTTAGGTGGTGTATTCTGCAATACACGGTTCTTTCTGCGCTGCCTTTTTTCCTCGAGAGTGATCCTCTGTGTGTTCTCGAAGGAGACAGCTGCGTTATAGATGGTGTGTCTCCAGGCCTCCCGATTTGAGGCCAGAGTAGACCAGTTATGGTGATCAATATGGCCAAGGCTGAGATGTTGTTTCAAGGAGTCCTTGTATCTTTTCTTCGGGGCTCCTCTCATGCGGCAGCCAGTGGCAAGTTCACCATAGAGCAGGATCTTAGGGAGTCCATACAGCAGGTGAAAATCGGCAAGGCAGCTGGGGTTGATGGAATTCCACCTGAAGTCTGGAAACATGGGGGCCTTGCACTCCACACCAAATTTCACGAGTTTGTGGTGCGCTGTTGGGAGCTCGGTGAACTACCATCAGACCTTCTCTCATGCAAAATCATTCCAAAACACGCTCTCAAAACGTAGGTAGTAATAAATACATTACACTACTCTTCTTTACATTCTTAACTTGTCCCAAGTCCTGTATGGCACACTAACATTTACAAACTTCCATTCACACAATCGGATGCTCTAACAGACTAAATTCCCAAAGTACCTTACTCCCAATCTGAAACAGTTCTTTATTCCTCCATATCCTTAATTTTTAATCAACAGAAATAGCTTTGAATATGGTAATTGAACTGGCTAGGAACAAGCAGATCTTCGGGACACAGAACGATTGCAGTTTACCAACATGCCATTTTGCTTTTCATTCCCTCAACCCAATACCCCTCAAATGTCTAAAAGCATTGGTCTGTAGACTGCATTGGTCTGAAGTCTTCAGATGACTTAGTCAGATAGTTCCTCCATCAAAACGGTGCACAAGAATCTATGTGCATTTCTGCAAAACTGCCCATCTCAGGTGTCTTACAAAGCAAAGGCAATTATACATTTACATGCACATCAATGAAACATAATGACATTTTGGTAAATAAGAACTTAATTTTGGCTTTTGTCTTTTTCTTCTTTTCAACATGCTGCTCTTGTTGTACACTGTACAACTGACACTGTTGGAAAGAAATTGTGAAATTCTTTTTCCAAAGAATCAATTCAAGTTCAGACCTGAGCACTGCAATGAGCAAGCCAGAAGTTTTCCTTTGATCTTGAACTGAAAATGACAAATCTGCTGTACATTTGGCAGCTTACCTTCCCCCCCTCCACCCCAAATGTGGCAACTCTTAGCTGCCAACTTTCTACAGAAGAATTAAATGGAAAGCCATGTACCTGTTCCTGCACTTTCTGATTTGGTATTACTTCAGTGTGCTCTGTCTAAAAAAAACAGTTTGAATTTGGCCAGGATTCCAACATTATGCATATACCATTCTGTGATGGCATTTGTAGGACAAAATTATGAAAGCATTTCATAAAAGATAATAATTAGCCATGGGTAGGTAGAGACCTTTAACATGAACATGTCTCTCGCTTCATGATTGTGTCTCAATTCTGCAACTGGGAACTCACTCTTTGAAAGAGTGATTATGGAATTCATGGAAAAAAACACTTAGAAAGAGATAAAGGGACCTTAAAATCTACTCTCAACCTGCCAAAAGTCAACCTCAAACAGGTTATTCATTTTATAGCCTTTGTTCTCATTGTTAGTTCATCTGAATTAATTTTTGTGTTAGGTTGTGAAGGAATTCAATAGATCTTCTGACTACAGAACGAGAGAAGTGATGTCAAGCCTGGAAACACATGCAATAATGAAACAAAGCATACAGAAGAAACATGTTTGTTCTCTGTCTTAATTAATCCAGTATTTATTAAGGGCCAGCAGCAGGACGGATCTTATAAAAACAACCTTGGTGGAGAAGCAAAGTACAGGCAAGCTCTCTGCAAAAGCTCTATTCTAAGTCTAAAGCTGCCATGTATTAAAAAAATGCCCCACCTGGGAGCCTGCCAGAAGCATGTCTGGCCACACTTATACAGGACAGCAAACAGAACAGAAGCAGAGACCAAAAACAGACAAACTGAAGTTTTGGGAGGAGATTCTGGATATTCTCCAAGCTGTGATGAAAAAAGCATTACCCTCACCTTTAGCTGTGCAATTCTGACATCCCCAGTGATTCAGTCTCTAGCACATGAATGGCCCTGTAAGTTGTACCCAGTTACCATTTTTGATCTCTGATTAGATCAGTGCAAGCATGTGACAAAGGGAAACAGCAGCAGCAGGTGACAGAGGATGCACACTTCCTGGCACAAGTGCAATCCTGGGTATGTTAAAGCCAACTGTGTCACTGGAGAATTGCCCTGCTCAAAGCAGAGTATCAGGTCTCCAGTAAGTCTGCTGGTTTTAGGAGTGAAAAAATGAACCTTCTGCCTCTAATGCTTCTAAGGCTCAAAAAAAATCAGAGTAAAGAGGATAAATAAAGTAAACACCAATGCTGACGTACTTTGGTAAAGTCATACATTAAAATATGAAAAAGAAACGTATCAAGTAATTCAGGTAACCTATATCAAGCCTACTGTTTTCAGTGATAACTTCATCTAGCACTTTAAAGATAAATGTATTCTTGAGATTTTGACACACAACAGTCTTTATGTGTTGGCACAGAAACTTAAACACTTTGGATCTAAAAAAAAATTTTTTAAAATTGTTTTTAGCTTTTCATTAAATTCTTTGCATCTTCTTTGATATTCACTCAAGCATATCAAAACATCAGAAAAATATTTCATATATTCAACAGAAATTGCAACAAATTCAATTCAGTCCTTTCTTCAACTCCATTATATAAGAGGCTGCTCACTTCTGCATCTAAAAAAACCTGAGAAGTTTAAGAACTGAAGGCAAAGTTAAGAAATCTATCTTATCTCTGCTAATTCTTCCAGCATTGCTTTTTTTCCTTTTTATCCACCCACTACCATTCTCACTGTACTATAATTTACTGTAAGGTCAAAGAAGCATTAAGATAGCTGGTGACACTTCAAGTACAGCATTTTATTATATTTTGTGCAATAATAAACACAGCCTTTTGTCAATGACAAAGAATGTTATTAAACATTTTCTTCTTCTATTAAACATTATGAGTGTAAACTTAGTGCCTTCACTGTTTTTGAATTGCAGTGATGGCAGAGAGGATTTAAGTTGTTACTAAGAGGAGGAACAGCAGTAAGGTCTCATGGAAAATTTATATATATATACAAATTATAATTCTTGGTAGTCTGCAGCACTTCTTGCCATATATACTGGACTATCAAAAAACTTGGAGAAATACTAGTATGATATATACTTACTTCCATTCATAAGAAGTCTCTCAAACTTCCCATGTCACAATAATCCCTATTTTTCAAATTATATTGAACAATATCATCTGGGTATACAATGCTTCTAAAAGTGCTGTAACACTGCTGTTACAGCTGCACACAGTGCTGCAAAAAGATTTTTGCTTGGGTAGAAAACACTACTTCTACTTTGAGATCCTACTAGACTTCTAGGTTAAACCCATGGCCATATTAAAACCAGCATTAAAAGAGTATTGGATTTAAAGAGAGTAAAGTTCTAGTCAACAAGCTGAAACAATAGCTTTTTCCTTTACCTTAGAGCCAGGTTTTGTATCAACAGCAGATGTAGTTACTGCAGTGGACGTTTCACTGACCATGCTTGAAGGTCTTTGGTTTATTTGTTGCTTGGACATAGATGAATTCTGTCTAGAAAATAAACAAAACCAGATAATCTAAAGCACATTGTTTCAAACAGTCAGCTTTGCCTTTTCATATTTAAGATTCACAGTGTGCAAACGAATGACAGGCTAGGCAAATATTTCCCATGAATCTGCAACTTCCTTTGCACCACTCCTGTTATTTTCATTTCAGGTCTTTCTCAGGCAGATGCTGCCAGTGACATCTGATGATTGATATTTGTCTATGTATCAGGAGCGAAAAAACTGCCAAAGAGAATCAAGACATAACAAAGAGCACTCAGAGAAGATAGGGCTAATGCAGAGAAACTAAACTGTGCCCAATTTAGAGACTTGGCTGCAAACATGTGAAAGAGCAAATATTGGGGAGGGAAAGACAGGAATCAGCACTTTGCAATAACAGGCTTCTTATTTAAAATCAAAGTGAGACCAGTCTACTGTTAGATCTTTCACTAACTTAATGTTAGATCTTTGAATCTGCCCAAAATATGATTCATACCATAATATGAATTATTAAAACACTCTTTTAGTGAAATGATGCAATTCATGGCAGATATTGTTAGAAATATGTAACTTCTGAGTCATACTAAGATTCCAGAAATCCTGATAACCAGCTCAGATACCCGTTTAAGGCATAGGTGAGGTCAATCCCACCAGAAGAACCCGTTCAACAAGTAAAAATTCAGTACAGCTGCCCAGATGAAGAAATAAGAGGATAAATGGAGGGGCAAAATCTTGTTGAATCGTATATGCAAGTTGTGAAAAGAAGCCCCAGCAGCCGAGCTTGACACCAAACTGTGAATTAAAACCATAGGTGGCATTTTCAAAAATCACTAACGACATAATTTAGCAAATTGTATTTTAGGAATAAGTAGCAATACGGTCACATCAGAAAACAAAATAAAACAAACAATAAACAACCCATGATTTTCCTTTTTCCATCTCAGTAAGTCAGCAAAGCCGGTTATTAAAAAAAAACAAAAAATATGACATACAAGCCACACCAAATGTGGTTGTTGCTAGCACTTAAATTCATTCCAGTTCTGAACACAACAGAAAACAGAGTAACTCTGAGCAGTTAACACTCATGAGAACAGAGAAGAATAGTTTGTGATTGTAGCAGCTCAACACAAGATTTATCTACGTCAAGGCGTTTGCCATCATTGCTCTTCCTCAGTTACAATCTCAACAATTACCAGTTCAAAGGCTTTTATAGGTGATTTGGTGTCAGGGAAAGCACATTTTTCCATTTGTTACCACAGAGTTTCAATTAAGCTTGCAAGTAAGTAACACAACCTTGGTCCCATTTTCTTTATGCCTTGCTTATTTGGCTTAAGTCCCTTCTTGCTAGACTTTACACATAAGCTCAGGTCCAAGATACGAGAACAAACTACAGCAAGGCCAGGCCAAAATTCCTGGCCATCCTTTAAAGCACGAGAGCTTCATCATATCATCTGAGTCAGTTTGCCTTACCTCTTATGGACCAGGTATCCTACTTCAACTGGAATATACAGTTAAAAGATTAAGACACTTCCCATATATTAAACTGCCTGACTAAGCTATTTCTGTCCTGCTCCCTTCCCACTTTATAAACTTCCAAAATAGGTAGAAAATACAGATGTACAATGTGCCTGCATCTCACTTGCCTTCTCCTAATATCTACTTACCAAAATAGTTCCATTTCCCTGCTCAAGGCAACTAAACCAAGAGTAGGTACTTCAGTTAGGGAGGAACACTAACAGGGGTGTGAGAATCATCTACACTGCTTCCTCAAAATGGAAAATATTAGATTTTATATCATTAAGAAAGCCACTAGAAATGAGTCACAAAAGCATGAAACCAAAACACATCCAAGGAAAATGTCTGGCTTCAGAAGACAAGAGATTTCCCTTCTTGCCTTGACGTTTAGATTCTCTACAAGGTCCCCACCACAAACTATTGAGTGTTACACTGTAGGACAGTCACATGTTATTATCCAGGTACTTACTGGGTCGAGGAGGGAGGAAAGGAGGAGGTGGAAAGAGCACATAACATACATGTTCAGAAAATCTGTTGCCTTTCCAGACTTTAGATAATATGATTGGATTACGTTCCTTTCTTCTAATAGAGTAGCTATTTCAGAGAGCTACCTTTCTCAGAAGAGAGAAAAATAAAAAATCAAATTTAAGTTTTGACAAATTGGAATTAATTTTTCCAATAAAAAAATTAATTAAAAAAAGATTAATAATCCCAGAGGAATGGTTTTAATTTAAAATTCAACTCTGATTGAACTGATTTTCACCATTCCTCGAGATAATGTTCACAGCTGGTTAAACATACTTCACTTTAAAAAAAAAAAAAAGTAGAAGAACTAGAGAGGAAGATAAGCTTTATATGTTTAACAAGACCATCACTATCAGAAAACCATAATGCAATGATGAATGTGTAATTTCTAAGCATTTATTATGTGGTCATATAGTGATTTCTCTTCCATTTGCTACTGGAAGTGATCACTGCCAATATATCGAGCTTTCCTTTTCTAGTAGTACCAAATTAATGATGAACTTCAAATTCACAAGCACAAAAAAGCTTTTTAAAAAATGTGAGGTTGTTGCCATGGAAGAATTCAAATAGCCAGCAAAAGAGACATTTAGTCCATTGAAAGAGAAAATACAATATTATTCTCCTAAAAATGAAAAGTCTTTGTCAGCAAATACTGGTTATCTAAACTTGCTGTATCTGACATGTAACAGAAAACACCAAACAATATTGAAAATTAACTTCAGTATTTGTATTTATTTCAAGGATACAATAGATTTGTTGCATGAAATTAGAACATAACAAAACTCAGGTATTCAAGTCTCTTAACAGCTAATTAATATTCTCAGTCTGTTTTTAAATCAAATAAAAATAGGCAGAATATGAAGAATTACATGAAACATCTTGGCATGTTAATGGAATTAATGCTGTCCTAACAGTATTTACAGATTCTACTTTAAAAATAAGTGACTACAGCAGTAACGGTGCATTCAGAAGCATTAGTTCAATATCACTATTACCAAAGATGTCTGATAATATCTGTTATCCAAGATACCACATTCTGTCTTCATAGTGATGGGTTTTGACTATTTTCAGGCTGGTTTTCTTAGTGCCTCCCCCAAGTGTGTGCATACACATACAGAATTGCAGTATGTACATTTGGAGCCCCAGTACCGTGTAAATTTTTTTAAGTACTTGAAAATAACACTCTATATAGTAGCTCCTGTCAAGCAGCTCTCTGCACTACTTATGCAGTGCTAGTATATCTACAGAAATAACATTTACCAGCTAAAAGAGTTATATAGCCAATATTCGAGTTATTAAAACCAACACTGAACAACAATAAAAAAAACAACTACACCAGTAGCCCATATTGAAAATGCAATACTCATGAGAGAACACATTCCTTTGCTCTAATAGACCATAAAGATCGGTCGACTTGGAAGATCGACATTCACAACTGCAACTTAAAAACTTAATTTTGTTGGATCATACATGATGCAATAACATCGTGTCAATCTGGTTTTAATACCCATAAATCTCCTAATCAGCTAAAAAAAAAAAAACCAACTGTCCTAGTATTTCTATATATGTAAACATGGCAGATATTTCTTTCTGAGTTGTTTGGGTTTCCTCTTTTCTCTGCACCTGATATTTTTGCTGCTATAGTAACCAAACGCAATAAATAAAATAAGATGGCTCTCTACCCAGAGGTAATACAAAGGTTTCATCAGTCACACAAAACAGGCAAGAAAGAAGATAACATTCGCTGGATTAAGCACACTGTATTTTTTCCCCCTATATGTCTACATTTATGTTCAGGTCTAATCTTTTCTAAAGGATAAAGTACTATCTTCTCATTCGCAAACACACTACTATGGCAAATGCATCATACAGATCCTAATACACAACTACTAGTGTTTAACACAGATAAAATTAGGTATGTGGGTGCATATGCCTTATTCTTCCTTTCTGTATACAACTACTTAAAGAATTGTTATTTAAAGAAAGATAAGAGGAGAAATCTAAACAGTACATACATCTATCCTAAGAAATTCTATCATAGGTTTTTCAGAGAAACACATACGTAACAATGTGGTAAAATAAACCTAACACCTGTCTGGCAGCCTTATCATTAATTCTCAGTTTCCCACTGGTTGTTTAAGAAAGGTCCCTTTGTGGATTAAGGGTTCATTAAAAACATGAAAGTACAGCACAGAAATCAAGAGGCAGTTGTGAAATGGAGGGAGTCTACCAGAGAGGCTTCCCATACAGCAAGATGCTCAGTTTATTTAGAGGTGATCCTAAAAACCAAGTCAATAGAGAACAAAAATTATTCTGGATAAAAACTGAAATGCTGGCAGGAATAGATAAAAAATTAATCTTCAGATATGAGTAACCAAATGATAAGATGCCAAACTGAATTCAGTGTCAACAACAGAAAAGTAATTCAAAAGAGGAAGAAATGAAAAACATCTCTGCAGCTTTTATCACTCAAAACAACACTGGCAAGGAAAGGATATTTTTAAATCTAAGCACAAGGAGTAGCAGCAGCCAAAGTATGTTAAGAATTATTAGTAAAAGCATAGAGAAGGCAAAGTACAATTAAATTATTATAACAAACAATGAGCTCATGTGCTGAATACTGCATTCACCTACAATCAATCACTCCATCAGAAAAAAAATAAATCTGAAAATGACATACAGAACTCTGCTGGCTCTCAAGCAGAGTTAGTGAAAGCTACTGAACACACATCCCACACACAACTAACCTGCTAAGCTTGGAAAAACAAAATAAGAGGTAGGGATTTCACAGTGGTCCCAGCTAAGAATGTGTTAGGAAATAAGGAATCACTGTTTAAAAAAAAAAAATCTAAATAAGAACACCTTTAGGAAGAAGGAATAGTATAAGGATCAAAGATAATATAATTAAAAAATCATAGGTTCCAGTCACAATGGAGTTGAGGAAACCAGATTTTAGCTTAAAAAGCAAAACTGATATAATATTGTTTAAATGCCTTGGGAAAAGACTAGTGAAATACAGTCTCAGTCTTCTACTGAAAGTACCCAGTTCTCATTTGATCAAGTGAAGCAAGGGCATGTGGTTCACAACTGAGTCACAATCGAGCTAGAATTACATCATTTATTGACGTCATTCTCCAAAACTTGTTTTCAAATCTTCTTGCCAGAACACTGCTTCCAGGATGAGGAATGGCCAGAGCAGTCCCTACATTCATCATTTCTAGATGACTGTAAATTACTTTTCTGATGTTAAATGTGTCCTTTTAAATGGATATGTTTGCTGCAGCCTGAACAAGTTTGTGCTTCCTTCTCCCCACTAGCTTCCAGTCAATATCTGGTTAGAACTCCTGTCTTTGGCCCTAATCTTAAATTAAAATCAACCCATCAGTAATAAATCATGTCACAACCGCACTGAAGAACAAATCACCTTTTATGAAACCCTTAAGAGTGCTACTACTTCAGACAGGATTCTTCAGCTATAGGAAAAAGTATTTGTGGTCAAAGGATCTCACAATGGAAAGTTTCCACAGGCCATGCCAATCCAGAGACTTCCTTTCTGACCAAGTCCTGCTTGTGGAAGTCATTTCATCACATGATATGATCTACTACACTGATTCCAAACTAAAACATGATCAACAACACTGATTGTAAGAAATGCCTGAGGGAAAAGAATGAAAATGTGGCATAGCCCCATTACAATTCCTGAAGACAGGGAGGTGCTAGCAGCTACTTTGATTTCAGCAGAGACATCCACAGGTGTCAGGCAGCGTCACTTGACAGGAACTCAGATATGATCGTGATGAACAGCATCTGTGTTAAACCCCTATTGTTGCATAAATGTGGTATGGAACTGAGGAAACCAGAGCATCCCACACATTTGAAAAAGACATTTTTAAAGCAATTTTAACTTGACAGATTAAAAACTTCTACTTTCAAAAACGCTGTATGTACTTTAAGTCAATAATAAAGCTTAGAAAAATGTTTTTGCACAGACTGTTTCCACTACAAACATATCCCTCCAGTCATTCCCTCTTCGTTTAAAATAAAAACCACCTCTCTTCATCAATTCCTACTATAGTGTAAGATTTTTCCTGGTTTTGATACCATCTCAGTCTGAGTAACTGAAGTCTACAGATGCTCATTCATCTGATTGCCCTCCAAATAAGCACTTTCATTTCTCTTCCAAAAAATTTGCTAACAGACATTAAAGATCACTAAAATCATGTGCCACCATCAAGCAGTTCTTTCAATTCTGCTTTTAATATTTTATCTGCTACCATGATTACAAAACCAAAAACAGCCTAGGGAAGTATGACTAACCCAAGCAGGCACTCCAAGGAGTTGCATCCAAACAACTATTTTCCAGTACACATCTACAAATTTATATGAGATTCGACTGAAACTTTAAAAGAGATGAATTAAAAATCAATCAGTGGATAGAAGTTGGAACACAGATACACAGTGGCTACTGTCCATAATGTCTTTCAGATTTACTCCACTGCAATGGACCTGTTCACCTCACTAAATGAGCTGGAGCAGCTTGTTTGCATAACTGGAACGAGACAAACCCCTTTGAGCAACAAGTCACCTGCATGCCACTGAACAGCTGGGGCGACCTCCAGCTCAGCAGTCATCCCACAGCCTTCATACTTAATCACAGACCTCTCCCACAATGTTTTATTTCATGCTAGTTCTCAGCAGGCACACTAACGTAGAATTGGCTGTTGGCTTTGCTTTGGATTTGGGGGAGGGCAGCTGTTAAGTTGGAGGGTTTTGTTGGGGGTTTTGTTGCTAATGTTGTTTTTGTTTGGCTGGTTTGTTTTTTAAACTGTTTGAGAGCTCCTTCTGAGGGCTACATCAGAACCTCTGAGCTTTACAGTCATGCTCTACCTTCTTCCTCTCCAAGTCCACAGCAGAAGATTTTGCCAGAAAGGACTCAGTCTCCTAGAAGTCTTGCATGGCCCTTCTCTGTGTCTCATTTTTCTTAATAACTACTTTGAATTAAATTTAAAGCAAACTAAATATCAGAGAGTTTGAAATGCAAAGTGTTCAGAATCATCTGGGCTGCCACACAAACCCCCACATCAAGGCCATTACAGCATGATGATCAGCCTCTGTGAAAAATGAGGGGGTAGAGGCTGCTGAAACAGTGTTGGAAAAGGAAAAGCTATCTGGTGGTGTCCCATTCTTGTTGCCTTTGGAGTGGTTTTAGAAGTGATGTAGAACCTTCTTCTAGACTCTGTGTCTTCTGTCTAGGGAAGACACCATTACAGTCGTTCCATTACAAGAGGGATTCCAGGAGCAATCCAGTGTACAGCAAGGATGACAGCAGTAGTTAAACCCTACAATGAAGCAGGGCATGATCCAATCCAAGACCAAAGACATGCCCAAATTCACCAGTTAGAACATATGCATATTTCTTAATTTTTCTTTTTTATTTTTTCAAATCAGACAATCAAGATAAAATATGCTGGAAACTAATACATTCTACACCATTTCTCCAGAATAAAGAAGAATGTCTAATCAATGTAGAACATCTTAAACATAAGATAATCAAGGAAGTACAACGGAAACTAGTAATATTTTGTGTATTTCAATTTCAGTATAAACCTTTCAGCTTGCTCTAAAAACATTTTTCATTTATGTTCTGTATATCTGATATTCATACAAGGCTAAAGCATCACTGTTCGAATATCCTATATATAAATATTGCCTTTTTTGTTTGTTTATTTTTGGGTTTGTTTGGGTTTTTTAAAAGATTTGATAAAGATTTTCTCTCAAGCCCTAGCATGGAACACTGCTGGAATCAAAAACATACTATCACAATGAGAAGTAAAATTTTAAGCATAAATCTCAATGACATTTTTGCTACAATATCAAAAGAACTGTTAATAATCTAAAGTACTAATCTACTGTAGGTTAATGTGCTACTGTTTTAGGTCTCTTGACATGGGTATAAAACTACTTACTCTTCTCGCAAAATAAATTCAATATTTTCTGGAGAGACCTGTCCTGTCACAGGATGTCTAAATGACGTGGTCTGCTGATTATGGCTGAAAAGAAAAAAAAAGAAAAAAGAAAAAAGGAAATTAATATTGCTAAACTCAGTAAAATATGATCTCTAAAAGGCAGAACTATTTATATTGATGCTTTACTGCTCTATTCCAGAAATGAAACATATTTCTGAGGTACTTTTCAAGTCTGAAATGTTTTCAGCTCCTTCCTGTGTTCTTGTTGACTTTGCCAGCGGCACACTGTACCATTTAATTATTAAACAAGTTAATGTTTTAAAACTAAACTAGTTACAATCCTTAGTTAGAGAGATACACTTGAATTTATGACCTGACTATTACCAGATAATTTAAATATAACACGTAACATAATTTATTGAATTATGTCGCTGTAACTTTCACAGAACAGAACCACTAAAATAACTTGAAATGCTGCTAGATAACATTTTACACATTTTGTATTATTTAATCAGATCACAGAGACATTATGTGGAAGCCATTTCTTGCTTTTTTTTTTCTTCTAGTATGGCATTTCTTCAATGATTTTTCTTCACACCTTCATGCAGCCATTCAGCTGTATGGTCTATATAAAACAACATAATTTAGTATTTTATCTCAGTTGAATTAAAGTCAGGAATTTCTATCAACTGTCCCCTCACAGTACTATCTAGATGTTTTGCTACCCCCTGTGAAATATTGCTACTCATTAAAGATAAATATTTTACCTATCTGTGTAACTGCACTCATGTAATGCAAAAATATGGAATGAAGAAAGCTTATTTCAGTTTAAACTGGTAGTCTTCCCTCCTCCCCAAAATCAATTATTTCAGTTAATTGTACAGAAAACACAAGACAATTTCTGTAGAGTCTTATACATAGTGAGCCCTTTATTCTTCTGTCCAAAAGAATGACTCTATAAAAATCACATATTTTAAAGAAATAAGAAATTAAAGATCTTACTTTAGAATTAGAAAGGTCATGGCTGACATGCTCTTAGCCTTAGAATTAGAGAGAGTAGTGAACGAAGTGCTCACTTATTCAAGGTTCTGAATTTTTCTGGGTTTATTAACAATTTTTAGATAAACATCCAAACTAGAATTCCCACCAAGTGCAGCAAAACAGTAACACCCTGTGAGTATATTCAGAAAACAAAAATAAAAAGGCGTTCAAAAGGATTATATTTCGAAGAGCCAAAAATGAAAACTTGACCAATTTTTTTGCTTAAAGATTTGGAGTTTTTCCTTTCATAATACCCAGCAGTTTCAGGTCTTACAGTTTTGACCCTGTTGTCTAGCACAGCAGGACGTCCCCCCAAAACCAGAATAAGGCATAAAGAAATATTCTGATGTTTCAGAGTAATGAAATTCCCAAGAGATAACATTCTTTCTGATGAGTAAAGGACAGCTAAAAATCAATCAGCTCATGCAGCCATAAGTAAATAGCTCAAGACATGCCTTGATTTAAAAAACAAACCAAAACCAAGCAAACCAAAACCAACCAACCAACCAAATAACCAAAAAAACCACAACAGCAACAAAAATCCCACAAATTGTTCATGCTAAGTCCCACTTGGGCCACAAACAGCAGAGGATGTTTGATGTGCTATCAACTTCTCATCCCTTTTCCAATGTGCCTCGCTACAGGAAGTCACATATAAGGAACCCATATAACAACATTTCCAATGATAAGCTGAGAGCTGTAACAACTTATGTAACACCAAAAGGACTTTTTCCGGCCCCACCTCTTACAAAAATTCTCACCCTAAAGCCATTGGAAACTGTCAACAAGATATTTGGCCATCAGCTACTCTGCGGCACCAGCAACAGCATTTGCTCCCTAGGCTGGTGAGAACTGACCTTTCCTACAGCTGTGGGTTAATAAAGGACCTTTGCAGTTTCTAACTCCTCAGCTTTTCCCATGAAATCAGAGAGCCAGAGAAAGTGTCTCCAGTAAGCACACAGTGCTAACATCAACAAAGCAGCCAGGATCCTTTTCCTCACAAAAAGACTGAGGAGTATTGTTTATTTCTAAAGAAGCGTTTTTATGTGAGTTTATATTTTAATTTTGGGTCTACATCCTAAGAGAGGGACAGGAACTTGCAGATGTTTTCAAAGAAAATAATAAAGAAATTCTAACACTAACAATTAGCTCCATGTTTCTCACACAGTCCAGTTTTATGTTGAAAGTGTTTCCTCTCAAATCAGGCCTGAAGCAGTCTGTTTAACCTTTGATGCTCAGGTTAGGACTGCTAACAAAAAGGCAGATACCTTGTTAGCTTAGAAAAATCAAAGTACCTTGCCAGCTATATTCTCCAGGGGCAGCCAAACTGTCAACAAGCTCTCTTCTGCAGGCTTTTTAGTCATTAATAACTCACTCTATAATTAAGACTAAGAAAAAGGACTGTATTCCAGAAATCCTCTAGGGTTGTTTAGGAAGTGAAGTTACCCATTATACCATACTAGCACGTACACAAATGCTTTTGTATTTCCCAGGAAATAAATTCACCAGGTCTTCTGAAGATGAATTATCCACTTGTTGCAATTCAAGAGGAAGTACATTACTAATAGGCTAAATATTGCTTACTAATAATAAGTGTTTGCTGCAAATTAAACACTTCTTAAATATCTGAGCAAATGCACTTTGGGACAAGTTTTGCATGTCAAATACTAAGAGTAGAGAAACAGAGAGATGGCTCTGTTACTGCACAAAATGCAGATGGTAATTTCACACAGAAGGAGAAGGAATATAAAAGCAAAACTTCCCGCATATCTGCAGCTTCAATAAGTAGGACTTGACCGGGAAGAGAGAAGTGAAACCCCTGCCACTAACAATTAGTTTTGCAGAACACAGTGGTTTATTTGAATTTGAAAAGTGAGCGTTTAAGTGTTTTGCCTCACAGGACTCATTAAGAATAAGCGATACTATTCAAAACAACCTATACAACAGATGGCTAATGCCTTGCAACAAGGAATTAGATAGCAGGGAGATTTCTGTTCACAATGAGAGCAGTCAAACATTGGAAGAGGTTGCCTAGCAAAGCTGTGGAATCTCCATCCTTGGAAACATCCAAAATGTGGCCGGATAAGGCTCTGAGCAACCAAATCAAACTTTATGAGCTGGCTCCAGCTTGGAAGCTGGCCTGGCTCTGAACAAGATGGGTTAGATCTAATGGTGTACAGGGGCTCCTTCCAATAAAAATTCTGTTCTATCATTCTATACTGCTCCATCTTTCTCTAAAAATATAATTTAATTCTTCCAATACCTCTGAAGCTTTCCCAGTATTTAAACAGATTTATTCCAAGACTATTAGCAGTACCTTTTTCTTAGAACGAGAGAAATTGAATCATTAGGTCTTTAGATTACAATTTTTTGTTGTTGCTTTCATGTCTTTTAAACATTTTCTTAACAGGGCTATCTGTTTAAACAACATTGATAACAACAGTTTTGCTAGTGAGTGATCTAGTAAACCTGTTGCAGTTTTCCTTTCCTTCCAAGCACAGACTAAGAAAAGACCTGACACAGTTGTTCTCCAGACACATCAGCTAACCAAGCCTCACAGTAGTTAATCACCTGTATTTCCTCCAAATAGCAACTGCTGAATATGTTCCTATTGTCCAGAAATCTATCATGTATAACAGGCACAATAAATGTGCCTTGATAAAAGGACACGATATGCTGCTCCACTCTTCATGCCCCTCTTATTCTGTTTTTTTCACTAGAGAAAGACTTAATAGCCCTCAACAAAAACGGGAAAGGCTTATGATTCTTCATTGTGTGAATTCTGAATGCTTTGAAATTGTATTAGTACACCACCACACATTTGAAATGCCAAGATAACTTTTCTAGCGATGTTACAAATTTTCTGTGTGAGAAAATACAGCATTTTTTCCTAGCAACCTAATTCCAACAGTTTTGTATTATTCTGATTTTGTACAAATACTGATCAACAGAGCCACCAAACCAAAGCAAGTATAAAAACATGAAAAATCCACACAAAAATGACATTCATTAGCATCTACCACTACCAGCATTATTAAATTACACTACAGACTGTTAGAAGTAATTCTGAACTTCAAAGTTACAGAACACCATTTTCCAAGGATTGCTGTTGGTTTGTAATAGTTAAGACTCACACCCTTCATAATGGAATCAGAGTTTAAACACGTTTCTTTTTAATTAGATACCTCAACACAAATTCTATTATTTCACAGCATGTGTACACAACATTTACCAGTGTAAGAACTGACAGTCGCCCACTGTCTTAAGACAGATTTACTAAAGCAGTTTAGAAAGACTCAAGACCTTCAAGATGTAAACAAAATGAATACACCTGGCTAACCTGAGCCCCATGTGAAGTCATGCTGCTTGAGCAGCTAATGTCACTTCTAAGCTGGCTCTGGGTTCAGGTGTGGGGGTGGAACCAGACAACAGATAACCTTAAAAACGGGAAGTTGTTACGCTCCTGCTGGCTGGGTGGGAGTGCAGACAGACACCTCTATCCTTAGATAGCACCTTACTGCTCACCATCCAAATGCAGCCTAAAACATTGCTCAGGTGTTCATTAAGCAAGTCTGCAAATTTAACACTGCCTAGCACTTGCTTGCACTAAACTAACCTGTAGTATGATAAAATTTAACTGATTTTAACACAAGAAAACCATACAATTACAATCCAGTCTCCAATTCTATAATATAATTGACACAGGCAGGCACTTTTGCTTGCATGGATGCTTTTGCAGAACTCATAATTAACATGACTTCAGTTCATTTTGTATTTGAGTCAAAGCCAAGTTCTAATTATTAATTTTTGGACATGAGTGATGCTGATGACCTTTCATTTGAAGTCAAGCAAGCTTACAGATTGCCTCTGGAGTAATTTAAATGCCCAGGCAGATGAACCTTGAAATGTGTGAATCAATTATTGATTGACTCTACATCACATTAACAACAAATTTATAGGTTGCGAGAAAAATTCATGTTGTCATTGGACAGACTCTCCTATAAATTATTAGGAGCCACTTGTACACTATTTATTTTCAAGGT